CCGCCCCTATGCAGCATGCCCGCGCGTGCCATCTCACGCCCGCGCCCTGCAAAAACATACGCGGGTTAACGCACAGACAACGCACGCGCGCACCTACACATGCGCAGGGGCTACTAATAACTACAGAATCGAAAATAAAATTGTGATTTATGTCATCATGCAAGGTTCCATTTTTCTACTCTTAAAAGTATTTTTATAATGGCGCCAAAAATTTACAATAATTTACCGAAAGCACTAAGGTCTGAGAAAAACCTTATGCTATTTAAAAAACAATTAAACAAGTTATTGACTAATAAAATGTACTATACAGTGTCCGAATTTTTAAACGATAAATCCCATTCATTATCTAATTTTTGACATTGGAAGTTATCGACGTTATTCATATTACTATATTACTTTGACAACTAATCACCATTAAAATTGACCCTGGCTCAGTTTTATTTAAAGGGTCATGGGTCAAATCCTGACCGACTTAATAAAATCCATGTCCATGTACCATTATTGAAAAATGAAACATGTTACACGTGGTTTAGTCTGTCGAAGTGCATGTGGGTGAATGTATATATTACCTTCAATATTCGTATGCCTACTGTTTGGCCGGACACAGTGAAACTGTACTTATTTTGTACATGTCAGCTTCTATATAACCTGTGTTTTCAATGAATTATTATTATTAAAAATGATTAATTATTTTGATTGTAGATAAACATCACGTATAATTTTATTATCACTCAAAACTCAAATAGGTTTTATAGAAGCCTATTATAGAAGTGACATTTCATTTCCTCTTTTTTAGCAACGACTTCCTTCAACTCTCGCTAAATATAGCTTGTTGTATTTTTTGTTTCACGGTATGAAATTATGCAGCGTCAGCTTACTGTTTCCAAAATAAATAATGCATTCAACCCCATCTTGTTTTGTTGGTTGTCGCTTTGAAATTCAGATATATAAATGAATTATAAGGTACCCGAAAATATTTACAAGACATTCAAATCTAAAGACAGAATAAATTAAGATGACAACAACATTTCAACTGAACTGCGAGGCTGCAATTTTTAGAATTGCGTTGGAAATGACAGCTTTCACGCTGACAAAGATTTACCTGCTAATGAATAAGGAGCATTTCTCTACAGACTTCTAAATAAAAGCTGTAATTTAGCAATTTAATCAGCGATCTACTCGAGATAGCACGTGATCGATGGCCAGTTGCAAATATTTCAGTGTCGAAGTGTCTTGCAACTCTAAATTACCTTGTTTAATCGCGATAGGTAGACAAAGAGCCCCGTTGTAAATTAATGAGGTCTATTTCTGAACGATTCAACTAAAGCAAGTAAATTGTGCATAAAATCAATCTAGTTTCGTAGCAGTAGAGCTTTGCCACCTCACCTATTTCTGCCGCCAAGAAGTAATGTAAGCATTACGTTTCAGTTTTGAATGGTAAGGGAGCTGGCGAAATTACAGGCATATAGGACTTGACACTTTATGTCTCAGAGTGACGAGCGCAGTAATAATGCGCGTCAGATCTTTGTAACTTAAAGCTCTGCGTGTCACTGCAACTGTTATGGACGGGCGTGTCACTTACCACCAGACTAGCTTGTCCAGTTACTTGGTATTATAAAAAAATGTAATGATAGAGGATTTCGATCTTAAGAGTTGTGTTCGATAAAAAGACATAAACGGAAAACCGCTGTATTCAATATGTACTTTACATGTGCTAATGATTTTTTTAAATATCAATTAAACTAAACAGAACACGGATGACGTATAGTAAACATTTATAAAATGGCATTAATTTCGTTTGTAAAAAAATAAATTCTAAAGTAAATCCAGTGTTCCTGTCGCTCGACCAAAGCAAAACGACCCGTATTAGTAAGAAAATGGGGAGTTGGATCTTGCTCGCGTCCGATGGAGAGAACCCGAAGAAACCCTACACGTGACCCCTGGGTGGTGCCAAGCGAGCCGACACAACGCCGAGTCAGAGGCGGTTAAATAGTCTGTCTCCTGAGTTATTTGGTTCTGGGGACGGCTGGAAATAGCCTCCGAACATCGCAACATGGAAGGCAACGGAAAAATGTAAAATACAAACCAAATAGAATCAGCACACAATATTAACGTATCGTTTAAACACCGCAATATTTTCATAATTGACGATCACTGTGGTTTAGCGGTTAGCATTGTGGGTACTACTTCCTTTTCATAACTAACGTATTTGCAAAGTGGTAACTTTCGAGTTTTTGGCATTGTTTGTTTCCATTGAAAAATGTCAATTACGCTGATTACGCTGATGAATATCAGCATTACTGTGTTCCGGGTCCTGGTGATATTACAGGCACATGGGACTTGTCAATATATGTCTCAGGGTGACGGGCGCAGTGGCAATGCCCCGGAGGTCTTTGCGATTTAAAGCTCTGAGTGTCACTGCAACTGTTATGGGTAGACGTGTCGCTCACCATCAGGCGCACGAGTTGGTCATCCCGTCACTTGGTATTATAAAAAAAAAAACCTTTTTTCAACTGGTTCCGGACGAATGTCCGGAGTGAACTCCTTAGTTTGAGACCAGGTGATTGGCGTGGATGTCTGTCTTATTATTATTATTATATCTATTTGATATTCTCGCCTCACCCTGGGCCTAAAAGACTACTTTTGATATTTTAAATGGGAGAGGCCGTATTATTATTATTATTATATCTATTTGAGAATCTCGCCTCTCCCAAGGTCTAAAAGATAAATTTGAATTTTTAAATGGGAGAGGCGGTATTATTATTATATCTATGTATTTTAGACTCTCGCCTCTCCCATGGCCTAAAATATTAATATTGAATTTTTAAATGGGAGAGACGATATTCCCGTATTTGTATATTTTTTCATTTTTATTATTATTTATTATTATTATTTAACGTAGCATCTATCGTAGGTGTGTACCTATAGGTACATAACATAAAACATTTTTTCGCATGGTATAAAATTACAGCCCTTCGCGCCTAAAATGAAACCATTCAATAAAATTGCATGCCGTCCTATATTACGTGAAGGGGCAGGAATATAAAGTTTTAAGTGGATTACAAGCGTTATTAGCGGGCCTCCATTCAAGCACATTCAGGCTACATGCCTGAATGATGGAGCCGAGGGTGATAATTTGGTAGGGCACGCGATCTCACCATTATCCGGGCCACACTTGCCGACATGTGTATCGCACGGGCTTTTTATGTATGCCGCTCTAGTGGCATGTAACCGTTTTCCGGATAGCATTTTTGTAAATACTAAACGGTGTGGTAGAAAGCAGGGTTCGAAATTATCAAGGCAATAAAAAAAATGTTTGACAAATTATCATGTTATAATATATCCGATAATTATCCAAGTTTTGGCTCTTTATTTTTGACTTGACATGACAAATATTGAGAAAACTAAATCAACACGAAGAACAATCTTTGGGGAAATTATGTATTTGTTAACGTCTCGGATACAAACACATGACACGGCATTGATGGTGGTAGCATTTTGATGTTCAAATTAATTTCATGAATATTAAGATAATTATCGTGACAATTATTAACCATAATCATCACTTCGAACTCTGGCAGAAAGCATTAAAGATTTTCTTCGGCACCTTGAAAATATAATTAGATTCAGGCGTTACTTTACGCCTGTGTTAATTTTATTTTAATTTATTAATAAAATCTTTTTCAAAAACTGTACAAAAAGAAATTCAATACAAGCGCAGGTATTTTGCACGATTTAACCTGCACTGCTTGGGCTCACGGAGCAGCAAATTAATTCACTTCCATTTTTTATTAACCGACTTCAAAAAAGGAGGAGGTTCTCAATTCGACTGTATGTTCTTTTTTTTTTCTTTTTTTTTTGTATGTATGTTACGCGATAACTCCGGTATTTGTGAACCGATTTTCTCGATTCTTTTTTGTTGGAAAGGGGGTATTTCCATAGTGGTCCCATTTTATTTTAAAGAAAATCAACCACCTCAAAGGGTGGCTGTTCACGCATGAAGATTCATTTTTATAAATAGCGCCTAACTTTAATTTAGGAGCAATTACTTTTAGCAATTATTTAGTTGATTTTGCTATTTCTCCAATTCAAGGCGTTTTTCTCTCGATATACTTTGAGTAGTGTCGTAGTGAGAACCTATTTATATCTCCAGTATCAAGTCCTGTATAGTGGCGAAGTAGGGGATATTTCAATGAAACTTAGCAAATAGACGTAATTTCACGTACTTTTGAGGTCGGTTTTTTTAGTACTCTGTACTGAGATTATTAGAAGGTATAATTAATATGACTACTACTACTACTACTACTACTACTTTACTTAATACTACTACTTTAATTAATATGTAATAAATAATATAATACCAGTTAGAAAGTGGTTGTCACCGCCTGTATCGCTTTTACTGACTAAAGTGCTCTGGATTTGTTCTATAAATTTCCCGGGCTATAAAACAATAAAAGGAAAAGTGAAATAAATAGCAACGTGTAAGTAGGAATAAGCAAGCCGTAAAATGCTGATTCCGTTGCTCGTGGAGCAGTATAATAATATTACAAAAAAAAAGCCATGCAAATACGGAAAGCGGGTGTAGCTGGCCCCATATAGCAATAATACTGGCTGGCACTGTTGCCGTGGCAACAGGGGAAAAATAACGTCGTGCAAGACATAAATTTCTCTAGAAAAATATTCTTGTTTGAAATGTAGGTTTATGTTGTATGTAGTTATTATCAAAGCGGAACTTTATAATATGAACATATATCGGGATATAGATATATATTGGACGTATAGTCATTCGATATTACGCCGTAATACCCAATAAGACCCGAAAATTCATTGTAACTCTAATGTAAATGTAGGTATATGTATCACCCGTCCGTCCCATGGTATTTTATTAATTATGATAAAAGTTAATCAGTTCTAGAGGCAGCACCAAATATTTTATGGAGAGAGCAGAAGGCAAACTGCACTAGACGCATAAGTTATATGAACAATTAAAATTGTCTAACCTGGACATTCGGTCTGGTGGTTGGAAGGGCTCCTTTTTAGTTTGAATCATCACAGATACCTGAAACAGAAGAAAAAAGTAAATAAGAGAATTCGTATAACAAAATGTATATATACAGTCAGGTGGGGTAAGAGGAACATATTTTCTGAGTCAAATGTTTTGAGCTCTAGGAAGAATACATAAAGTCTTATAATTGCTTAAAAAAATTTTAAAGTACACTAAACTTGCCTTTGTTTTATTAAAAAATAAGTGCGCATTTGACTTCATTTGTTTATCAGCTTTACATGATTTAACGTTTTAACAATCATTACACTAAATCCAATATTTACTTACGATGTATTTGCCGATAAAGTGTAAATTGTGGTACCTTGTCTCTTCCCCCAAAAGATGGTATAAGAGGGAACAGTACATGGTATTCCTTATAGCACAATTTATATTGCGACGGAATGGAATGGAAGCGCATTTTTCTAACAATATTGTACATTGCATAATGAACTTTATGGTCAACTGCGTAACGTACAAACTAGATACGAGCGAAAAGCTTTCGCGGAATGCGCGAGCATTCTCAAACATGCGCGAGAATTCAGTGGAACATTTGGCCTCGTATCTACATATGTACAAATTGAGCCTAAAGATAATGTAACCCCTCGTTCTCACAATAGTGCTAAACTATTTATATTAGTTCAGACTTCTGGTCCCGCTTCCCCTGGTAATCCTCTTACTCCATCTGATCCTAAAAGACCCCTAGTGTCTTTCGAGCGTCAGCGTCTTGCCAACGTTCGCGCCGCACCGACACGACGTCTACGCGGCGGCGACGCAACGTAGTATCCCTAAGTAATTTGTAGACGCAACGTCAGCACTAAACGACTGCTGAATAGTGCCAAACGACGGTTATACGCCGTGCTAGCGTTGCATCGCGGTTACGCGGATGTCGTGTCAATGCTGTGCGTTGGCAAGGCGGTCTCTAATGTAATTTTTTTATTGCACCAAGTGACGGGACGGACAAGTCGTGTGCCTGGTGGTAAACGGCACGTCTGTGCATAACCTTTGCAGTGCCACTCAGAGCTTTAAATCGCAAAGATTTGAGAGGCATTGTCACTGCACCCGTCACCCTGACACATAAGTTGACAAGTCCCATGTGCCTGTAATTTCACCAAAAGTAATATTCATCATTAATCACTTAAATTAATAATTATGTTACTTTCCAAATAGTAGGTCAGTGATGTGAAATATTATTTTAAGAGCAATGAAAAATATATCTGAAACGAAATGTACGAGTGTGGTAGAACTTACAGCCTGCAGTGAATTTATCTGAATGCACACAGAACACTAATTTTAAAATTTTCATTCATTCCCAACCCCAACGCATTTTCGTTCCATATTTAATGGCCCACTGGCCTGATGAAAAATGTTGCTCACATTAACAGAATATTAATTTAAATAAATAACATTTAAGAGATTCTGTAGCGAGATATCTGACGAGCTCGAAATGTTTAATTGTTAAAATTTCCAATATAAACGTCGTCGTTTAAAGTGGTAGTTATTGTCTGTACTTTGTTGTCTTTTGTCTCACTGAAGAATTCAATAAATTAGTAATTCCATTAGGGTTACATACATTTATGACAAAAATTGTCTGTTTATTCTATATTACATCACCATCACGAACCCATTTATACATCGCACTGTTGGGCACGGGTCCCCTTCCAGGGGAGGGTTTAGGCCATAGTCTTTCACGCTGGGCCAATGCGGGTTAGGGTATTTCACACGTTATCCGAGGGTTGCGATTTCTTTCATTAAAAAGCTCATGGTAAATTTCAAGTTAAATTTCGCACATAAATTCCGAAAACTCAAAGGTACGAGTCCGGTTTCGAACCCATGACCCTCTGCTGGAGAGGTGGTAGGTCAAACCATTAGGTTA